GATTGTACCACAGAAGCCCTAGAAATCAAAGCACCGCATGCAGTGCATGCAATGGATAGATTCCTCAGTCGCCATGTGTCGCATAGATAGAATGTATATTTATAGTCACATATTTATTTTGAATAATCTAGCTTTTTTATTTTTAACATTTCTATTTCTACCATTTCTACTATTATTTATATTATTTATATTTTTCTTACACGTGTATATGCTGTGCGTTATTTAAAGTAATCGACAGAACTATTAATCTTATTTTAGGAGTTCTATTTTTTCTATTTTTCTTACACGTGTATATGCTGTGCGTTATTTAGAATAATCGCACGTTTTTTATGTCTCCGTCGTGTCGTCGTGCTGCGTGAGTTTCAGAGTTTTTATATTTTTCTATGAGTTTATTGGTCCTTTGAGGCTTTCTATTTTTCTACCGGCTGTTGTTTTTATCCTGTAGCTGTCGTTTTTTGTACATGATTTCTATCTATTTATTTTATAACTATGTGTAAGGGAGGTTGGGACACTGGGTGTGTAGGGAGAGTTGGGCCCATAAAAGACTCTTTAACCTACCGCCCCGGTTCTCAAGGCTGGGCACCCAGGGTCCTGCCTCTTTCTTTCTGTTTATATGTTATTGTCTGTGTTTTTGTACGCTTGGGTATGTTATTGTCTGTGTTTTGTGTGCTTGGGTGGGGGAGGTTCTTTCTTTTCCTCTGAGCTAGTATGCTATAAACATGTTTTTTTCATGCAAAGAAAGCCGGCAAAACAAACGCCCAAATTCCATTCCGTCGGTTGATGCCGTAAAAATTTATTCCTTCACCGGCAGACTTAGACTGGATTATGGCGGGTATGTTTTCATGTCTTCGTTGGTTGCATGTTTCGTATCGTATATAGCTATTATTTGCAACGATCTATGTCCACAAACATAGATCAAGTTGTACCGCAAGCTGAACATTTAGAGCTTGCAGTTGAAGTTGCAGAATACTATGATTTCTTTGAAGATGATTTACCAGTCCTACATTGGCTAGACGTTTATTACTGGATGGAACTTGAACCACCAGCTGTAAGTTGGAACCAATCCAGCAGAGTGGCTGTGAATGGATATTTAAACGAAACCTTCAACATTCGCATCTAGATATTGCATTTAGAAATGTTGAAAATAGCATTCATATCATCTGAAAACTTAGTAGCGACAGAAGAATGGCTGTTTTTGCTTATATTAGCTATATACTGTGGAGACTCATTATAATAATTGCTGGGGACTTAATGAATTTGTTTACAGTAAGCAGACAATAATGTAGTAGCTAAGTGGAACAAAAATGTTTAATTATTTCCTGCTCTTGGCCTATATATTAACATTATTCATAATTATAACAATCACTAAGTACGGTAGTACTTAGTATATAGGGATTGACATGGTACCTAGCATCATAGATGTATGGGGCTATGATAGAGAGTTTTGTTCATCTTCTTCTTCTTCTTCTTCGACCAGCGTAACTCAAAAACCGAAAGAGATAAAGCCATGAAATTTTGTAGGAATGTGCGTATCGATAACCACATGTGCAACGTCATACTTTTTTGTTTGTAAACAATGTTGTTTACTGTAAACAACAACAAAATTGCCCCAGGCAATACATTATAATGGACATACATGTCTTAGTGTAATTCGTAAGAGCTATGTGAACGAAACTTTGTATACATAATGTATTCAATACCCAACATCAAAAACACAACAATACATATTTATAAACAACAACAAATAGCCTCAGGCACTTTTCTTTAAATTTACTTCTTCACGTCTCAAACTCCTTAATGGTAAGAAGCATTGGGATGAAACTTGGTATGTAAGCCTATTATATCATTTCCATGACAACTACATGTTTCCATGACGACCGCATACTGTTTGAAGAAACCTCAGACGATTATCTTTATAATTACTTCTTCACTCCTCAAACTTGCTAACTGTAGCATTTATGGAAGTGAAACTTGATACACATACGTATTAAACTGTTTCCATGACAACCACAACACAAAGTATCCTCAGGCACTTTACTTTAAATTTACTTCTTCACTCCTCAAACTCGCTAACTATAGCACACATGGAGGTGAAACTTGGTGCGCATGTGTATTACATCGTTTCCATGACAACTACAACAACAAAAAGCCTCAGGCACTTTACTTTAAAATTACTTCTTCACTCCTAAAACTCGCTAACTATAGCACACATGGAGGTGAAACTTGGTGCGCATGTGTATTACATTGTTTCCATGACAACTACAACAATAAATAGCCTCAGGCACCTTTCTTTAACATTACTTCTTCATTCCTCAAACTCGCTAACTATAGCACACATGGGGGTGAAACTTGGTGCGCATGTGTATTACATCATTTCCATGATAACTACAACAACAAAAGCCTCAGGCACTTTACTTTAAAATTACTTCTTCACTCCTAAAACTCGCTAACTATAGCACACATGGAGGTGAAACTTGGTGCACATGTGTATTACATCGTTTCCATGACAACTATATATAGGGGCTTGCCCCCTTCCACAGAGATAATACGTAGTAGTATATAAAAATGAGTGGAGACAAGTAAATTAAAAATCCTGCAAAAGAGGCATATAGGGATCGTATAAAAAGAAAGGGAGACAAGATAGGGATTGGATACATGAAGCATGGTTAATGAACAGATTTGAGTATGCTGACACCCCCAACCCCATCACACAATCCTTATATTGTTGCCTAGGTGAAGTATTGAACATTCACCATTACAATACACTACTGAGTAACCAACACCCTTATAGAGTCCAAGTGGAGTTTAAAAGGGAATGTGGCAGTATAAATGTTACTAAAAACAACAGGGACAAGGTGAAAGAATGCTTGCTTTTAGTAACCTTTAGCCCCTATAAGAGTAGCACACCAGGCAACAATATAGGGATTGTGTGATGGGGTTGGGGGTGTCAGCATACTCAAATCTGTTCATTAACCATGCTTCATGTATCCAATCCCTATCTTGTCTCCCTTTCTTTTTATACGATCCCTATATGCCTCTTTTTTTTTATTCGCAGGATTTTTAATTATGAAGACTTATATTGTTTGGAGCATGTTTCGAATTACTGCACAATAAATGGTGTGTGCTTCACAACTGCCTCTCTTCTCTCTACCAATTATCTAAGACAATGCCCAGTGTGCAACACTTATATATTTCCTTACACTACTTGTATATGTGAGCGTATCAAGTAAAATAGGGGCTATGACACACAGGGACAAGTTTGAGTTTGTGAATGAATTATGTAGTACAACGAATAGAGAATTTGCATGCGCGATATGGAGACGATTAGCCACACCAGAACCGCGCGAGAGCATTACAGGCAACGCGCATTGCGCTCTACGTAAGGGATTTCCCTCCGCCCGTGTATGGCTCGTACTATACTCGCATATACAGGGAAACATTATAATGTGGCATACACCCTATTTTTACTTGATGCGTTCACATATTATACTTAGCCCACCAGTCCTATTTGACATAATGATATACAAGTAGAGCAATGTTGTCTTGAACTATGGTTATTTGAGCAAGCTCATAAGCAGCACTCCATTACAAACATACAGTTACTGAACTACATTCAGCAATAATTATTATACAGATTGCAAGCCTAAAACACAACTGAAAATAAGTAAGTCAGTCAATGCAAATTCCCATAAGCTATAATTACAGTGCTGTGCACATAGAGACTGGAACATTTAGAACTCAGCCATACTATAATACATGCTCCAAAAATGCAAGGTCCAGTCTGTTTGTGCACAGCACTGTAAGGGACATGAACAATGGAGTAGTGGCTACCACATTGTGATAGATAATATTGTTTGTTGCTAAGTAGGTCCAAACCAATAATTACATACTGACTATATATGCTCCCTGTGATGCAATACTCAGTGAGGATTATGATGCAATACTCAGTGAGTATTGCATCACAGAGGGCTAATGGTTCAGGGGGAGCTTAGGCTGGTAGAAAACTATATAACTCACTTTCTCTATTTTCCATTTGTCTTTAAATCCCCCCTTTTCTCTTGCCCTTTCTCCTCCTCCTTTCCCATTCTTCCACTCTTAACTCTTCCCACCTTCCTACACGTACACACACCTCCCCCTTCTTTTACTCCTCCTCCCCTACAGAGCTTTGGCCAGATGGACTTCCAGTCCCAGCCGCTGGACTTCCAATTCCAGCCGCTGGACATCCAGTTCCAGCCGCTAGACTACAATAACATACAGTGACTACAGTAACATTGACTATAACAGTAACATCAACTATACTTATATACAGCAACTAATAACTACTTAACAATTGATATCATACATGCTTACCGTCCCACGTTCCGCGGGGCCACAAAAATCAGTGGCGCCCCGCTGTCCCGCTGTCCCGCAGCAGAGCCTTTCCACGTGACATAGCATGCGCTATGTAAGTATTTGTACTTTCACCTTTTTAATGCCAAAGGGTATGGAAAGTGACACTGCTACAGGCAATGTATCTTCTAGCTCTTCTACCCCTACTGCCACTCCATGCTATGACAACGTGACTCTGGTTACGGCAGAAGTTCTCACAGGACTGCTACTCAAAAAAGCCTAAGAACTGTGTCAGAATGAAAAAATGTATGGTAATTATAATTCACATGGCAATATTTTAATGCTATCCTGCAAAATCTGCTAGCTGTCCAGCATTGTAATTCATGCGGGTTGGCAAGTACAACATTTATCGGAAATGACATTCACTTTCAGAATCTACCCCAGGCAGCTGTGTTCCTGTCTTTTAACTTACCTAATCCAGTTGTTACTAGTTATTTACTCTACTTTCTGACCTATCCATGGTTGTACTCAACGCCCCTGTATATACACATTGACAAAGAACTAACCATGTGATGACTTCTTATAGCAAAATTACACTGGATGACCATGCAAATGCTGGCCTGGTGTCTGAAGACTAGTCATAGATTCTGCACTCTTCACTGCCCCACACTGGCCTTACAGGAATGAAAACTTCAGTAGTACAGACAGGACTTCACCTCTTACTCACATCCTTATGTATATACATAGTCATGAATAAAGGAGAAACTAACTCCATACATACATACTAAAATATGCTGCTGTCAATGGTTATTGGTCTTTATCTCTTGTCAGCCTTCCTCACTTATAGTTCCAACAAGGCTTCACAATCATAACAACAAAGGATAGTTCTGCAATATGCAGTGTATGAACAGAAATGGGCAGCTTTATAATTGATGGTTTAATGAAAAGCACAAACCCTCGGCGAACTGTGCATGCGTGGTACCGCTAATTGATGGGCTGGGCTATTTGTAGTATACGTTAACTCGTGGTCTCCCGCTAGTATGCTCACGGAGAGTCTGACACGGGCTAGCTACAGTAGTAGATAGCATGCGGAAGTCGATACACGCTCTTCGTTGTGACTTCATGTACCTTCAAGATACACAGAGCCAGCGGACCCGGTCGAGGTAAGCCTGTGCCAATTAGCATATTGGCTTGTTCACTTGCTTTTCACGCCATAACTTTAGAACGCAGTATTTTTACGAAAATCGCCATTTTTAAAATTAAGCCAGTGTAACGCTGAACCTGTTGGTGTCGCTTTTTGGCCGGTTTGTTGTACGTGGCGGCAGAAAATGTGGTAACAGACACACACACAGACAGACACACAGAACGACTACTGTAACCCTCACTGCACATACGCGCCGAGGGTTAACAAGTAAAGCTGAAATTAGTATATAGATGTCTTAATTAATTAAAGAAGAACAGTCTCTGATCTTCTCTGAGACAACCAACTATGAAACCTCCATAATCAACAGTGGCGAGGGTTATGCACTTTCAAGTGCTTTTCATTGGTTGCTGCATTGATGTTTTTGTGTATGTGATGTCCGGGAGAGGTAAAAAGGATTCACGGCTTGTTGGTTTGGGTTCCAAACTTCAACCCTTCTATTTTGCAAGACTCTTTGGGTTCACATATTATTGTTACCTGTGGTAATATTTCCGGAAGTTTGTATCTGTCTAAGCTTGATGAGTCTAAGAAACCTCAACCAAAATGCAAATGGTTGTTCTCTCCTCCTGAGTTTGAGAGTTGTGCTGGGGGAAAAGCGAAGAAGTGGAAACAGTCCTTGCACCACCTTGGAAAGCCTTTATCAGATTATTTCATCAGAGCCTACCTTCTGTTACACAACTTGTTGTTGTGGGTTAGTTTTCTAATGTTTCGAGGTCTGTTAGTGGCCCTATTTCTGCAAGTTAGCCTTGTTTGTTGCCACGAGTCATTCAGTCAGAATCCTTACATTCTACTGCCACCCTTTCAGATGTTGTGCAGGGTGACTCTGCCTCTGGGAATCACAGCCCTTGTTTACCTTGCTCTCATTCCACTCAGTCGGATTTTTCTGTAGATAACACAGGTTTGACTCCTTGCTCTGGTGCTATTAGGCACAAACCCTTGTTGGTCAACATTACAGCGAGGGTACTGTAGTTGTCCTGTGTGTCTGTCTGTTACTCTCAATCTCACTTCTCGGGTGTTTGTTTGTCTCACAAAGGATACGACCTTCCCAACGGGCGACGAAGGTCAGAAAATAAAGGCGGTTTTCTCTGAAAATGCTCCGTTGCAAAGCTACAGCGCGAAAAAGCAAATATGCAAATACGCAACGGACGGGATGGCTTACCGCGGTCTGATCGATCCGCGTGCTCTGCGTACCTCGGAGGCACAAGAAGATGCAACGCAGGGCGTGTATCGCCTCTCGTATGCTATCTAGTAGTGTAGTTAGCCCGCGTCAGACTCTGCGCGAGCCTGCAAGAGACCCGCGAGTAACAGCTAAACTAAACCCAGCCCATCAATTAGTGGTAGGCTACAGCGCATGCGTTTACTTACGCGTGCGCGTCACAATGCGCCGAGGGTTTGCACTTTCAGTGCTTTTCATTCTCTCTTTTGTGGTGGCTTACCGTCTAAAGGGTGACACAGACACCCTTAGAAGAATTGTGGGTGAGCGGTTTTGTAATAATGATGTAGAGGTTGCTAAGAGGCTTTTGTGGGATCACTGTAGTTGTGAGCTTGAGGCTAACGGTTTGGTGTTTCACGCACGTCGTGATTCAGACAATCGTAGTCAACTTGTAGCCAACCTCGATGATATTGTTCAAGCATTAGAAGTTTTGGATTCATCTGACACTATTCCCAATATCTACTGTGAGGCTTCTCAGCTGCACATGATTCCTCCTCTTTCTCTTGATCCCCTCAAATGTGAAGTGTTGATGGTATAATGGTAGCATTGTTGCCTTCCAGGGTACAGATCCGGGTTCAATTTCTGGCCAACGCATTATCATCTTTAGGGGGTAATTATGCAGTTGGCATGAGCCCTTAAGGGTGAATGCTGGGTACTGCAACAGATATCCCTAGGCAAATGACATGTATGAACCCTGCTTGCACATGTAGGATTGTATAGGCTGATAAAATAATCCCCCACTCCTAGCTTCATACATGTCGGTTGCCCAACAAACAGTGGTGCAGGGGCTGGCTTTACTACAATGTTAGGCAGAAGCTGGGGCACAAACAATGGAGGCTCAAGGTACATGCTTACCTCAGTGCATGCACCTTGCATATCTGGCAATAATAGTGACATATGACAATGCACAGACCCTTATGAAGTTCTGAAGTCTGTCCCTATTTGGGAGCACGAATCTTTTCCCTGGAATCGAGAAGCGTCTGCGTCTCGGAGGTTGTTTTAGTACTGCAAGTATGGCATTTTCAATTCTGTAAGGCTGGTAGTGTCCACTGTAGGGAGGTTGTCCGCTTCTCAGAGGGTCCATTATGGGAGGTTTGACTGTATTCACGAAGAGCTCGTGACTCCGTAGATGTTCATACTGTGCGTGGAGGAGAGACGATGCACAGCTAGACGGGCACAGTCGCAAAATGCTTTACGCATGCTTTGTGCGCTGCAAAACATAATACATACATATTCCCCTCTTCCCCAAGCGAGGTATCCTGATCAAAGGTTTCCAATCTTAGGTCGTGATTAGGGAGGTGTTCTAATCTTAGAGAAAAGTTTCATGATTACAGTTCTGTGTGCTGATCTTAGTAGAAGTGCTATCATTAGTGACGGTGTCCTATATACTAATTCTCAAAAGCGACAGCCTCAGACTTGTACATTGTCTGGTAAGAAAAGAACTCCCAAACCCCTGGGAAGCCTGCAGGCAGGAGGGGAGAGGCCACGGAGACAACTGAGAGCAGGAAACCTCCTGAGAGCAGGACACCCGAGAGAGCCTACCCTGCACCCACCCAGCAACCTCCACTGACAACCATGCCATCACCTCCACAAAAAAACTTTTTTATGCGCGCATGTGCCACTGAATTTTAATTTTTACCAATAGTTTGCAATTACAGCTACAATGATCTCATTGAAGTATGCGTGTGTGCGATGAACCAGAGGGAGAAGATTTTAGTGCTGAAGTACAGACAATAACTCTCCGGTTGGACTTGGAACGTGAAGATGAGTTACACAGCATCCTGAGCTGCGTGCCGCTTTGTGGGCGGCAGGCTGCCTGAGCGTCTTCGCTTAAGTGCCATAGAGAATCTTTTAGTGGGGAATGCGGAGGATGGAGTGGCGACCACAGAGGTTGCTGGTGTTGCAGTTGGGATCATGGAGGGTGTGCGTGAGCTTCCAGCATAGCCAGTTTCGTCTTCACTTCCTCCAACTCTTCTAGCTTTCTTCTGATTTCTTCATACCAACTTGGCATTTCACCGGGCCTTGATAAAATGTAGCCGGATTTCACTGCCTCCTGCGCGACTTTGTTTGTTTCGGCCCATGCTTTCCCCCCCAAAAACAGCCTCCATTCTGACTCGTTGGCAATTGACCTTTCATTCCGAAAGTTGTTGAATAGGGACATGGCGATACAAACACATTCATTCAGACGAATCCCCACCCTCCACTGCAGCGCAGAACTCACGAAAATGATAGGCATTGACGATCGTTGGTAGCAAGTGGTGAAAACGCTAATCTTACGGTAGAATGGTCAATCAACATCCCCACGGTGCATCCACCTACATACCGACCATTGACTAGTGTTCCCATGTATTGGGATAGTTGAGAGATGTGTTTCTCTGTTATTTTTTTCTTCGCCTCCACAGGGATGATGTACATTGGGTCATTTTCCACAAACCCTGTCATGGTGTAATCCACCTCCGGCTTTCTTCCTCTTTTATCACTTTCGGCAGCCTGTGTTTCTCGGCCTAGGGCGGAACAGTACTCCAGGCAGTTGCAGTTGCAGTCCCGCGGGGCGAGGGACATCGATGCGGCATGAGCTATCTTCTTCAAAAGAGGCGTTAACAAATAGTGGCAAATCTCTGCCTCACTAGTGTGGCCTCTGCAGATGGAGAGGCCCAGACAAAGATCGAAAAGAAGTCCCTGAAAGTACGACCGCCAAAACTCGGCGTTGTGCAGCGTATTCGGCAACGAAAAAATTTCATCGACTCCCTTGCCAACGTTCTGGAGTTGTTTTTTTACGGCTACTTGGAAGTCGTCCGGCAGCAGAGGGTCACACACACGATAATGATACGTTGCCGCGGAGGGGGGAGGGCGAGAAGTTCCACGAGTCAGAGGGACTGGGTGCCATATTCCCCACAGTGGTAGCGACGTCAGTAAAATTTTCAAAGTTTGTTAAAAACGCTTTATGATAGCATTATCAGATAGATAATGAAACAAGGATTGCAACGATATATAAACATCGTACGTTGCTAGCTCCAATCAAGTAAATCCCCACCCTAAAACCCTCTCCAGTATCGGTCGGCTCCTAGGGCAGCGGCTGGCTTACCTCCCTCGAAACCACCCGTCACTCTTCCAAGGTGCGCTATTTGCCTCTGGAGAGGAATGCAACTCTGGGCTTCACCGTTGCCCAACGCCTCCCCCGCACATTGACAGTATTATTAGGTTTTTCTTTGTTTTTGTTGTTGTTGTATTTGTCTATTTGTTTGTTTGTTCTTTGTTTTTGCTGTTTGCTTGTCTAGTGTATCGTAATCATATTGTGAAAGATAAAAAAATTAATAAAAAATAAAAATAAAAATATAAAAATAAAAATTAAATTTCCGCCTTGAACGCATTCCCGATTCTCCGCTTATTGTAATATTACTCACTGTGGCACAAATTTTTATGTCTGAGTTATATTTAATGATAAATCACCTTTTTATCCACGAACGGCAGGGTAATGCTGCGGAGGCTGAAACAAGTCAAAAATCGTAAGTTTCCCTCAGGACCACACCTCCAAGGCGGAGCGCCAGGGGTCAAAGTGCAGTTGTGTCAGCACGAAGCTACAAACAAGGCTTTCTTGGTGCCCAAAAGCAGGATTCGGGTTGAGCTGCAAGTTATATAGGCTTTCTACACAAAATCATGGCCGAAAAGGAATACACGGTAAGAGTTTTGCGTTTATAAATGTGATGAAATAAACCCTATGCTTCGCACCAGCTCTACGTTACTGAAAAGGTCCATTGTGTTTGGCTAGCAGATGGAGACGTTCATGTACTCCTTGAAAGCAAAGTGTTTGAAGGTCCTGATCATCTTGGATGTGCTGTTGTGGACAGAATAAGCAACAAAGAGGTTGTTCTGGAATACTTGAAAACAATGGTCTCCATCCCACAGATCGAAAGGCTCATAACTATGGTTCCAGTGTCAGAAACTGGAGTTTTCAATGACTAGTTAATATTATGTGTTGTTGTGAACATATTTTAGCGAATTGATCATTATAATGCATAAAACCACACTTTCAGATAAGTAACAAATCACCACTCTCTTATATCGTCTAAGAGGGGAAACCAAGATAGATCTTCTTCGCCTTCATATGCAACCTGAAACCTCATTCGTTACAAGTTGAGCTGCTGTACGACTCCTTCATACCAGACTATTTCACCATCACTTCAAATCGGTGCTTGATCCTTCTACCTATTAGTAGTTCGGGTTGGACAGTATATCTTTAAGTGTTTCTTGCTCTGGAGAAGTAGAATTCTCATGGTGCTCAACGTCATCTACCAGCTTGCCCAATTTTTCTCTTCATGTTTCAAGAGAGTGAGCTTGCCTCTAGACGAAAATGCAAAAATAGACTGTCAGGATATGGTTGAGTAAGACTTTCTCGCCGTAATTTTAGTTGCACTTTTAAAATTCTAAGCTTTTCCAGCTTTCTTTAATATGTTCTGCAGTCCTCTTTCAATATCCCCCCTATTCATCCACAGCCAATAGATTGAATTTCTTGTGTTAGCTTGTCATTATCTTGAGTGGCCCGCATTTTTCTACGAGTAATATCTTCCTGTCTTTTGAGAAGCACATCTGCCCGTCTTTCTTCTATTGCCTGGCTGCCTCTCATTGACTTCTTCCTAACTGATGGGGCCAATTTTCGTGCAACTTCAATGAGTTTCTTTCTATCGTCCCAACGGTTGTTTTCAAACCAGGATGAGGTTTTGTGGTAGGAATAAAGAATCAAGACTCCATTGCTACAACAGACCATTTGGCTTTCTCTACTACTCTGTCCGAATGCAAATCTCGCTCTGGCGCAACAGTTGTTTGTGTAAGAGTATGTAAGATCGTCAGTATAAGGAAGAGACGGTAGTGTAAAAGTAAAAAGCATGACAGAAAACGACGTCGATTGTTTGTAGGGGAGAAATCTACCCTACGACACAAAGTTCTCCTCCTGGGTGTTCCGCCCCGGCCCTTTCCCTTTGGGTCTATTACCGACATATCTGTAACTGAGTGCTGATGCTTACCCGCCGAAGATGATCATGGAGAAGTCTGTGTGTTGTCATTGAAGGGAGAAAAGAGGAGCTG